AAGTCAAGTTGCCAATGCAACTTAAGTCCGACTTGTCCCTTGACTCAAGTTCCCATCCCTGGAAAAGAGTGAGGTTTACCCTGTTATACCCCCTGACAGCATAACGATGTTGGGGGTGGCATTTGTGTTCAGCCAGGCTGCTTTGTTCAATTCTCATCAGCCTATCCTGATCTCTGTGGATTCCATTCAGCAGAAAACACTCGCCGAAAAGAGAGCTGGGGTCACCATTTTGCCTAGCAGAGCAAAGAAACGTTGATCGCATTTGACATTTCTAAAGTTGAATCTCGTAACTCCAACAACGGCACCTCTAAAGGGTTGGTTGTGTGCTTTTTCTTTTTTTAGGAACATGAGGTATATAAGGCTTTGCTTGTTCCCTACTCCATTCTCTTCCCCCCTTCTCATGAATTCCCATGGCTGAGGAGGGATTTGAATCCAGATCTCCTGATCCCTCGTTCATCACTCTAGCCGTTAGACCACACTGGCTTTCAGTCGACCTAGAGTAGCCCCATTGAAATGAATGATCCCAAAAAGTCAAAACAAAAGAAGGAAGAACAGCCCAGAGATACCTGAAATATATGCATTCTTATCTTATGCTAATAAAAATTTATTTGCATATGCTAACATTCTCCTGTTCTCAGTTCCACATTCCTATACAGCAATTATTAGCACGATATTTGCAGTGACTTTAACTGGTCAACCAGTGACTTGCTCACACAGATCCAGTTTGGAACCTGAGCCTTTCCTATGGTCTCCTCTATGCTGCCCGCTCATCTTGCTTCATCTAGTTTGTTTGTAAGATTCCCAGAAGTTACCTGAGCAGGTGTGGTGCATAAAGAAAACAAATCTCCCTTCCTGACTTTGGGCAAATCGCTAGGCATGGGACTTTTGGAAGTTTTGGACTACAAAGCCCATAACTCTAGACTCACACCTACAGACTCCTAAATGCGGCTCACCTGGAGAAAAGGCCTAGCCAGGAACTCATCTTGCTTCATTTAGTTTGTTTGTAAGATTCCCAGGAGTTACCTGAGCAGGTGTGGTACATAAAGAAAACAAATTTCCCTTCCTAACTTTGGACAAATCGCTAGGCATGGGACTTTTGGAAGTTTTGGACTACAAAGCCCATAACTCTAGACTCACACCTACAGACTCCTAAATGCGGCTCACCTGGAGAAAAGGCCTAGCCAGGAAGGCTTCAAGGTGAGCACAGGCCTAGATCCCCCTAGCTTCCTGTTGAGTAGTTGGGCAACTTCCTTTCTGAACATCGTCGCTTTCGGCGGGGGCGTGGGGGTGGGGGGGAGCCACATTTAGGTGTCTGTAGATATGGATCTGTCGGGTGAATCACTCAGAACAGAGAATTATGGGATTTGTGGTCCAAAGAATGAAATTTAAAAAAAAATCCCATGCTAACAAATCCCTATTTTTCCACTCAGCCAACATTGCAGGAATGTTGAGAAGACATAAAATCTAGCTTCCCTCAACTCTGTGAGAGAATTTATAAAAGCGGTGCGGTCCTTGTACATGATCTGAAAGCAAGGGTGACTCGCCCCTTTATTAGACCACACACCAGAAATGGCAGCCGTAAACTAGCTGTCAACTCTGTATGGGTCTTCATCAGGCCGAGGGCCAAAGAACTGGAGGGGTGGTAGAGAAGGAACAAGAAAGGTTACGAAAACCATGGCTAGCTTCCTTCAAAGCACGCTCCAAAATGGCGGCTGTCGACTCAAATCAGAGGTGGCCGGTCTCAGATTTCACCTCGTGTGTGTGGATTAGAAAGTCTCTCCAAATCGTATTAGACAAAGAGTTGCCTTCCTCACGTGGCTTCTTTTCTTGCGGAGCTCAAGTCTCAGGAATGGATGGCGGTCCCTGCTGAATGAGCATCCATGCGCAGCCTCCATGTAAAATCGAAGAGCCCACATGTAGCCCTCTAGAGCAGTGGTCCCCAACCTTGGCCCTCCAGATGTTCTTGGACTTCAACCCCCAGAAATCCTGGCCAGCAGAAGTGGTGGTGAAGGCCTCTGGGAGGTGTAGTCCAAGAACATCTGGAGGCCCAAGGTTGGGGACCACTGCTCTAGAGGGCTACATGTGGGCTCTTCGATTTTACATGGAGGCTGCGCATGGATGCTCATTCAGCAGGGACCGCCATCCATTCCTGAGACTTGGGCTCCGCAAGAAAAGAAGCCACGGATGCCAACCTCTCCACGGACACCTTAATTAATGTAAATGAAGAACCAGCCTAGTTTTCTGAGTGATCAATAATTCAGAGCGACCGCTTTAATCCATCACACGCGGTGCCTGCTTCAGCCAAAGAGCCTTGCCATGTGCATCCCAGACTTACTCATGGGTAAAATTACTCTGCGCACAAGAACAAGGGAGAACATTTTAAGAGCACAGAATCCAGGTCACTTTCTCGTTAGATCTGCATGAGCTGACGTTGACTGCACCGCTGTAATTAACTAGGCGTTGCTTTTTATTAGGTATTGTAATTAATTAGGTATTGCTTTTTATTAGGTATTGTAATTAATTAGGTATTGCTTTTTTTAAAAAATGTGTTGCACATTTGTTATCGATACGCTCTGAACTTGAACTCAGAAACAAAGCAGGCCATTGCGAGGTGTTTATTTCACCGGAAGAAAGCTGTCTTTTCCATTTGGGTATTACCATTTCCAATTTCGCCGACTTGAGGGGGGGGATACCACTAAATCCTTGGCCGCCACGAAAATAACAACCATGGTATATTAGCCCATCTTTTAACCAAAAGAACTCAAAACTTTTAATTCGGTCAAACCAGAATCGGCAACGGGGGCGGGGGTGTTCTTGTTCAGGACAACAACTCCCAAAATCCCCTGACTAGCATGCAACGGCCGTGGTGCCTAGGGGATTCTGGAAGCTGTAGTCCAAAAGCATGTCTTTGGCCTGTGATTAAAAATGTTGTTCTTTGATGCTGGTTTTATTTCAGTTTTGCTTCTTTCTCGCACGACGGTCTTCCCGAACCCTAAATTCCGATTTCAAAAATCAGAGATTTTTTCCCCCCATTTAAGCCTTCCCCGGATAGCATCCTGGCTGAGTTCTGTTCATTCCTGTTCTGTTTGTGTGTTTGCTTTGACCCTTCCTAGGCCTTTCTTTCTCGGAGCCCAATCTGTCCAACTAGGGCTTTGTTTATTTAGGGTTTTAAGGACTAACCAGCAGCTCGTCACCCTGTCGGCGAAGTCAGGCGGCTTTACGGATCCGTCCCCCAGCAGCTCGAGAGCGAACGGAACGAAACTCTTCCAAAGCCGACAGCCAAATGTCAAAAAATAAATGTCTAGACGGACGAGAGATTGTGTAAGATTCGGCAGCTTCTTAAATCCTTTGCCACAGTGATGTGGCATCGGTGAAGGGTGCCAGAGAATGAAAAAGACGCCTCTCCTCCGCCACACGCCACTGTCCTCAGCCGACAGCCAGGCTCCCTGGTTCCCCAAAATGCTTTCCCTTCTCTTTTAGCACAGCATGGAAACAAGATCTGGACTTTTTTTGGAAAAAAAAAGCTTTATCCCCTTGTGTTGCTTAACTTGCAGTTATAGTTCTTTAACAGGGACAGGCCCGAGAGGGGACCCGAAAGCTAATTCTCCTCTAAAAAGCATCAGCCACGCTGTACGAAGGCAACCGATCACCAGGAACATCGTTTATTGCTTAGAAACATCATTTATTGCTTAGAAACGGCGTGGCTGTGAGATTAAACAGTTAAAATTAGAACAGCTATAGCAGAAAAAAATTGCCTTCTAAAAAGTAATAAACGGAAAGGACAGGCAACTGTACTAGTGTTTCTTATGAGCCTCATGGCACAGTGGTTAAACTGCAGTACTGCAGTCAAGGCTCTGCTTACAACCCAAGTTCGAACCAATGAGCTTGGGTAGCCGGCTCAAGGTTCACTCAGCCTTCCATTCCTCTGACGTCAATAAAATGAGTACCCAATTCACTGATAAACCACCACCCAGAGATTGCTTTAATACTATGGGGCAGTATGTAAGTTGACAAACAACAACAAGCACAAAGGTCTGCTTTCACAGCTGGGGGACATTGATGAAGTTTGAAAAAGTTTCGGAGGCTACCGCTTCCATGATAAATAAATAATACCCCCCCACACACAGCCAAGCTCT